TTTCTTTCCATCATAAAATGTGAGGCATTTTAGTCTTCAAACACTAAGAAGTGTTATTTGTTTGTGTCAGAACAAATATTCAACTTCCTGTTTCTTTTCGCTTTATTTTCATTACTTCTTTTTTTCTTTTTTTTAAATTATTCCATTCACCTACTTACTCAGATTACGTAGCAGATGAACACATGAGCACGCCTTCTATCGATGTTACAATTGCTGAACCGTCTAAAACACAATGGTGGGAAAAGTCGACAAAAAATGCCGTCTCATCAAGGTGTTACACCAAACAGTTTCGCTTCAGATATCTAAGATTGAAATTTTAGCTTCACTGTGAAAATAAATGAAACATTTATTGCATGTAATAGTTTTTTGTTTTTAGATGGAACGCCAAAAATAGTAGAAAATATTGTAAATAAAAATAAAAATATCTTTTAATTATTATGGCTTAAGCCGTTTCCTTTTCTCTCAATTTTTAAATTAATCTCAAGATGGAAAAGACCAGGAAAAGAGTTTTTAATCTTTACATTTTTAAGATCACTGTGCACTTACGTTTTTCCCGAGAGGAAGAGAATCCTTAAGATATTCAACCTATTCATTTATTTAGGAGGGGAAAAATGTACAGACATACATATATATAAATGTATAGACAGTCTTCCGGCTTAAATAAATGCAATGGGACCAGGCGGAAGTAATCTACGCTGTACGACTGATGTGGAGGTGGGTCAACAAAGATGTTGACTTTTTTTTTTCTAAAGGGTCACTTTCATGGAACTTGACAAGACTATCGCGATGCTGATAATATAGTAATTATTAAAGCCCCAGAGAGCATCTCGAAACTATGAAAAATGCATCGTTAAAACTAAGTCTTCTTTAGTCTCAAATTGGTAAAAATCTGTGTGAGTTTCCATCACAAATATCTCTCTTTATATATTATGACTGTCTGTCAATCTTTCTCTCTCTCTCTCTCTATATATATATATATATATATATATATATATATATATTTCGTAAAATACATCTGTTGGATGCTTTGGTGCACATCATCAGTGATATTTCTAGCCGAGGCTCATTAGGTGTTTCGGGTCTTCAATCTTCCTATATATATATATATATATATATATATATATATATATATTATTATTATTATTATTATTATTATTATTATTAATATTATTATATAATATCAAATCCGTAAGTGGTAAGGATAATCCAAGTAGGTCTTTTTAATATAAAATATCAAAAAGATAGTTCCATGAAACGATCTCAATGTATTTATATACAGAGTAATATGATAGACATCAAGAAAGAAAAAAAATTAACACATCATCAAAGAATTCGGTAATAAATTTATTTCGACAGATAAGTTTTTGATATCTGCCTCATCAAACCGAAATTACAAAATGGTTTAAATTTATCCAGTCAGTTTATCAAAAATTATATATTTATTAAATAAATAAATTATATATGATTTTATTGATATTGTTTTTAGTTGGACTGAGTAATCGTTATTGTGGATTGTTTAGGAAATTTGCTTTGTGGTTTTTAATTGTGTTGAATGGTTGTTGTTTGTGGAATCGTAAATTTGTTTTTGAAATCGTGAATTTGTTGTTTGTGGAATTTGTAAATCCTATCATCAATTTTTAGATCAGTGGCTATTTTTCTTTTCACTATTGATGTTATTTTCCCAGTTGTTGGGTGCATTTTTATAAAACTTATTAACTTTTTTGTTAATAGCTTTGTGGTACATATCCGCATCGATTTCGTAACGGTTAGCCGTCTTGTCTGCTTAGATAATTATCTTATCTGATTTTTTGATAACTGAAACGTCCTTTTGTATTTTTGTCGCAGATCGTTGGTAGTTTTAGCGAATTTAATTTTGTCTATTACTGAGAATAAATCTTTCTCAAAGTCCAATAGCGTGATTGGCAGATCTAACTTTTTTTAAATTTAAAAGCTCTGCATGTCAAATTTTTATTTTTTAATATGTGTATTAAGCACATTTTAATACCACTGTTTCCTGGTCTAATGCAACTTTGACAATAACTGCTTGTAATTGTAGTATATATATATATATATATATATATATATATATATATGAAACAGACTGTCGCCTCTAAGTGTTGACTTCTATGTTCACTTTTATATATATACACATATAAATAATATATATATATATATGGAGGTTACAGAACAGCACAAGCCAGAACAGTTGAGCCCCAAAAGAGAACTGAGAGTCTAGCCTACTAAGCATTGCTCTACAGTCAGTCAGTTAAGTGACATATGCTTGGGCGATCATGTTTCTTTCGATTCATGACTGACTAGGTTGCCATTTCTTTCTGCGGCAGACTGGCTATTCAACTCATAGCTGGGGAAGAGCGAGAATAGATGGATTCGTATCTTTCCCAAGGGTATTTATGTGTAAGTGAATGTAATAAACTCGATTGGAATTCGAACTCGGCTCCCCGATTTTTCATTCCGAGCCGATATCCATTACACAACGCACATCCCGCTCTAAGATAGATAGATAGATAGATAGATAGATAGATAGATAGATAGATAGATAAATTCGTGTAATAACTTTCTACTTTCAATTATTTGCGCATTTAGTCAGTCAATTGGTCAATTAGATAAACCGCATGCGACCAGACAGGAAACGGCCACGATGGCGGGAAAATAGGTTGATAATTATCCACATATAATGAATGGATGACGATCTTTATTCATATGCGCATAAATTTTATGGTCGGCAAAATAAAACCCATATATCCTTACGCACAAAAGGCTTAGCTTAGTGTGGCACAAGGTTAAATGTAGACCAAAAGATGTCTTGAAATGTGCATTTGAAATCCTAGCTTTTTATTATGCCGAACTCCTACCACCACTGATGGTGCGAAAAACACAATCATTCCAGCCACCAGCCTACCATCGGTGATAGATACCTACATGGGTTTATGAGTGTAGTTAGTTTAAATTGTGCTTTGTCGCTTTCTAAAAATTAAAAAAAAATTATAAATCATCTACGATCCGTATATGTCGGTTGCCGGGTTGCTATAAAACTGATTTTGGTATTAGCCATTTCGTTTCGTTTCGATCAAAAGAAGTGTGAACTTGTTATCAGCCATTCTCTTTTGTGTTGCCTTGTCAGCTATAATGTTCAAAACGGATCGGGATTGTAATTTTTCAGTTGGGTGTTTCTCTAATGGGGGTCAAATTATAGCAAATCTATCAGGCGCAGATTATATAACCCTGACAAAGTGATCATCAAATATTTTTTAACTGCTTTTCCCATAACGCAAAAAGAAATCATTCTTGAGTTAAACTTCAAAACTGTTTCAATAACACAATATCAGGCTTACGGCCATATTACGTTGAAACATGGGTTCCTGCACGATCACTGAAGTTAAACAATGTCGAGTCTGGTCAGTACCTATATGGGTAACCGCTTGGGAATACCAGGTGCTGTAAGATTGGATGTGCGGTTATGTAATGGATAAGTTTCGAAATTGAAAATCGGAGAACCGAGTTCCAATTCCAGTCGGGTTCATTATATTCACTTACGCACAAATACTCTTGGGAAAGGCATGAAACCACCTCTTCTTACCTCCCAGATATGGCGTAATTAGTAGGGCTTATTATCTCCAAAAAAGATTTACAATCTAAAAATATTTTCTCGTTATTTAAACCTGAATATGGTTGATAAACCATAAAAAATAAACCAAATCAATCAAACACAATATCCAAATAAACGGAAAAATGATCAAGTGATTGATTCTTGGTAACACGCTATTTTGTAAAAAAAAACTTAAAAAAAAAACATAGTTGCAGTAAATCACCGAATAAATCTGGGATAGGTTGCTTTAGAAAAATATAAGGTATGCCGAAATCAACAAGAGTACCAACCCACACTAAAATGAAGATATACCTTATAAGTTTTAGAAATGTAAGCGATTAGGAAACATATACTTAACATCAGGAAGAGCCAGTTGAAATTTCTGGGGCACGTCATAAGGAAAGATAATTTGGAAAACTTGATACTCACAGGACAGATTGATGAAAAGGGTGACAGAGGAAAACATACTTGATGGACTTGAGCAAATGAATGGTAAAACAGTGTTTGGGGGAAATAACAAAAAGACAAAACTTATTAAGAGCTACAAGAGATGAGAAGAGTTGGAGGGCTATGATCGCCTACGTCCTGATTGGACACGGTACATAAATGAAGAAGAAAAAACAATTTACCTTCACTCAGTGATAACTTCCGTAGCAAGTCCTTGAAATTATTTAGACACATTAAAAGATCTACCGTAGAGCTCGTTAAAATGTTTCTTGTAGCTACACCCTTGTGCAAACTAATTATACAAGAAGATGTGGAGAGCCATGACCACCTATACCTTGTGCAAATTAATTGAAACAAAACGAATAATTCCGTTTTTTTTGGGGGGGGGGGTATTTTTCTAATAAATCATGCCCTACTGCATATGTTAGTACTCCGTATATCCATTCCACGAAGTCGTCCTTGGCAGAATGACCATAGATTCTCGATTAGATTAAATCAGGAGAGTTTCCGGACCAGTCTATAGTACTTTGATTTGATCACTCATAAGGCTTACTAGTGTGTTCATGCAGCGTTACAATTTTCGTACGCTTCCTTGGAGTAACGTCCAAACAATGACCGTAGTACAACTAATCGACAGTCGAGATAATAGTGTCTGGGCGTGAAAAAAATCTGATGCAATCACGGATGACGCAATATTTTTCAAGGCCAAACAAATTTCATCATACACCCCGAAAATAGATTCATATTACTGCACACCACTGGAAATGACCTAATCTGAGGAAAAATTAAAAATCGATTACACCCTGTCACACTAGTAGGTTTAAAATTGACCGTAAGGTGAAAGAAAGGAAACTAAAGCGTTTGTTTCAATTAATTTACAGAAGGATCTCCACATCTTCCTGTATAATTTGTGTATGGTGCCTGTAGAAAGGAATAAAGGAAAATCAAACCAGAAGTAGAGGGATGATTTATCTGGTACGGGAATTCCCTTTTGTCCGGAAGTCGAATAAACTGTTATCCTCATCTTAGATGGGAGAAGGCGCCCGGTTCCGCGGATTCCAACTCTGGGACAGCAACATCTTCATTGCACTAACAGCGGTTGGGTCAATGTAATATCGACAGCAGCGTAATGGTGGTCGCGGGGACTGGGCAATTTTTCTTCTTGGACCATATACATACGTATATGTACGGGCTCCTCACGTAAAAATTGACTTTGTGTCACATCCTGCCTTAGTGGAGAGGCCGGGTAAATATAAAAGATATAAATCTATGGTCACCAAGTAGTGAGTGGCAGGCAATAAGCTGGCTTAAGATTATTATAAATGGCGAGAAATAAGTTATGTTGGTTCTTAATGTGCTACAATCGGAAACAGTGATTCATGATAAAAGGATTAAGCATTAAAATGATTTATAAACGCATTAATAGATTCTGTCTGTCGATATAGGTGTTGTTTTATGTATCATTTTTATTAATGTATTAATAGTTCTACATATCTATTTTTTTTTCACATTTAACAACCTTTTAAGAGAAAGGATACATTTATCTATTTGCTGCTCGATCAGGAATCTGATTGGTCGTTGAGATAATTACGTGTTTGTCGAGGTGAAAATAAGGGTTTCTAAGAACGATTTTCAAGATGCAGAAGCAGGACCTCTCCTCTCAGAAGATTTTCCTATTCCTACAGTACACTTGCGCAATTGTAAAATCTGAAATACATTATAAGAGTAAAACTACCAACCCTACAATATTTGGTAAAACTCTCCAAGAAAATTAAGTATCTCTGGCCCGATTTGGCTAAATTAGTTTTGAAAAAGGAACAAAAGTTTTAGTTTTTAGGCGATTCATCGAAATACAATTATGAGACAGATAAGTTATTTTATCTATCTTGGTCATTGGGATGTTTGAATTTCAGAATTCAGTCGTTGAATCCATACCACTAGTCTGTATTATTCACTTCGCACTAATGCCCTTAGGAATGTCAAGAACGGCTATAGGTTAAATAGCAGAGTAGAATGGCCACTCTAGCCTTTGTCGGGACCAATCTAACAGAAGGTAAACGTTGAATTTCAAACTGTGGACAAGTAGACGAGAAATCACTGTTATCTTTCCTAAAAATCATGGCACTTCAAAGATATTCTAGAAAACGAACCGATGGAGAACCAAGATCCTCTATATTCTCAAGGAACAAAAGAAAACATTATCGCACACTCAAGCATCTCATAATTATTATAAGCTGTATTAAGCAAAACAATAGAATGTCGTTTAAAATGTCAAACTAATAAAATGACGATTGAAAGCGAGTTTCGCTCATACTAATCACAAAACAAATATCATCAGCGATGTTGTATGTTGGCGATTTATTGAGACTGAAAATAGATCCGGTTTTAGAAGCATGCAAGTGTGACGTGAGTTGCAATAATTCATAATGTGAATAAAGAAATGTAAATTGTGTCACTTATGGCTGATAGAAATTGGCGCTTTTCTTTAAAAAGCGGCAATTTAGAAGAATAACGAAACAAAGAAAAAAAAGCACTTAATGACAAAGTTCTGTAGTAGAACAGGGTAAAGAAAGAGAAGAAAAACAGAATAATAAAGTGAACAAGAAGAAAAAGAAGAAGAAGAAGAAGAAGAAAAAGAAGAAGAAGAAGAAGAAGATGATGATGATGATGAAGAAGAAATAACATAGGCGGTAGTGATGGAGAAGAAAAGAAAGTAAAATTGAAGAGCGAATAAGATAAATCAAAAAAGAAAAAAGAAGGAAGCAAAGGGAAACATAAGATTTTTTTTATTTTGTTTTGTTTTACGGCATATCAACAACTCAATGGGTTATTTAATACCAACAAAATTTTTATTGCTGGTAATATTTTGATTTGTCAAAAATCTATTTCTGGTAATATTTTTTTTCAAAAATGTGTTGCTGTAATAATTTTTTTCAAAAACTATTGTTGGTAGTATTTTTTCCTCAAAATGTATAGCTGGTAATAGTTTTTTTCTTCAAAAATTTATTGCTGGAAATATTTTTTTTTACAAAGTATTTCTGGTATTAAAACCTGTTTTTACACTTTCATAGTGTTTACCCCAGTTTCAGAGTTAACTATTTGCCCATAGCTGGGAGCCTAACAGGTGCTACCATCCGGGTCAGCGCGTACCTGGGAAGCATAAGAACAAAGAAATAGAATAACAAAAAGAAGAGAAAGTACGAAAAGAAAAAGAAGGAAAAAGTAGGAATGTGATGCATTAATTATACTTATTTTAATACTCCATTGTCGGTAGGTGTATTTCTGTTTCGGATTAATGTTAAACGATTCGGTCCCAAAAGACAATTCTAATGAATTGCATCCACTTGTACTTTACAACTACCACTCAAATAAAGTCGGGGGATATAGAACGAAAAAGAAATGGTAATAATTTTGTTTAATAGACATCTTTAATATACGATCATACTTCAATATCTCATTTTGAGATGCGGTATTGTAATTATTTACATTATTTACATTTTTCGGACTGTTGTCCACATCTTTGTTGCCATATTCACGACCATTAGAAAGTTTTCAGTTCGAAATTCCTGTATTAAAGGGTTCACTTCAAAATTCCAATCACCTGAAGATGGCCGGAGAGTACAACGGCCGAAACGTCATGAATATGACAACAAAGATGTGAACAGCGTCCGAACAATGTAAATAATGATCCATACTTCTATCTAACTTTTTCCGTTATGTTATTCATATATATTCATTCATATATATATATATATATATATATATATATATATATATATATATATATATATATATATCATTCATATATATATATATATATATATATATATATATATATATATATATATCATATATATATATATATATATATATATATATATATCATTCATATATATATATATATATATCATTCATATATATATATATATATATATATATATATATATATATATCATTCATATATTTATATCATTCATATATATATATATATCATTCATATATATATATATATCATTCATATATCTATATCATTTATATATATATATATATTCATATATATATATATATTATTTATATATATATCATTCATATATATATATATATATATATATATATATATATATATATATATATATATATATATATATATATATATATATATCCTATATTAGAAAGATTGACAGACAGATACAATATATAAAGAGAGATGGAAAACTCACACTGAGTCTTTTTACCAATCTGAGACAAAAGAAGACTTAGTTTTAACGATGCGCTTTTCATAGTTTCAAGTCACAAGGTGTAATTGGCCCATATTTCTTGACAACTCCAACGCTGACTGAAAATGCTTACTTACAAATGCTGCAAGAATTTGCCATTGATAAAATACCCCTACAAATCAGATGAGCAGGGTATTTCCCACAGGATGGTGCACTGCCTCATTTTGCTCGTATTGTTTGTGCTTGTCTTGATCAAAATTTCCAAAGTCGTTGGAATGGTCGCGGTGGACCGTTGACATGGCTACCGCACACACCTGACCTGACACTCTGTGCCTTTTGGTTATGGGGTATGATGATAAAGGAATGTGTGTATAGCAAAAACCTTAGAGACATCGAAGAACTCAAAGACAGAATAAAACGTGTAATATCAAATATTCCCCGTGAAATGTGTGTCAATGCACTAAATTGTACTGTTGATCACTGCTTTTTGTTCATCAAACGTTCTGATGGACAGACGGAGACTGTTCAGTAAATTTTGAATAAATGATTCCTTTCATACTAGTGTTAACATAATTTCGACTCACCCTATATATCGGATTTTTTTTCTCCATTTTGCCATTAAATTGCACGTCATTGCTAAGGCCTACGCCCCGCAGAGGTCACTACAACCTCATCAGCTATGATCTTTGCCGAGATAAATGGATATCTTAGATTAATAGTAAGTGGGACATGTGAGTGGTCCTCGTTTAAAATGAGAACCACAAATAGATACCCATCTTCTGTCTTCCTTAATCTTGTTTCTTTATTGTCTTTTTCCTCATCTCTTCTTACTAAAGTCTTATTCTATTTCACTTCCTGTAACCCTCCTGCGTTTTAGTGGCATTATCGCCTTACCTTGGAGTGAAAGGATTAAAAAAAAACGTTCGAAATAAGAATGAAACGAGCAACACCAACAAGAATAAGAAAAGAAAACATTGAGAATGTATGCCTGAACACCTGAGGCGATTTTTAATTCTAATCACTATAACTTAGTTTAGATCGAGTGATAGTTAATATACAACATTCTTTCAGTTTTTATAGACGTCGATTTGATAGTGTCACGAAGATGACGCTTTAATTAATAACTCAAGAAAAAAAGAAATTTATGAGACTCGACGTATCATATTAATAAATACGATAGTGCGACACTCACTGGGTATCAATCATAATACTTGCAATGGTTTGTTAGTTAGCTGCCTTTTTTTTTTCTTTTCATTTTCATTTTTTTTTCTTTCTTTTTTTTTCTTTTTTTTTTTTTCTTTCTTCTCAATACGGTGAGCGTTCTAGTTTAAGTGCCCGTGCGTCTTTCTTGTTCAGTGCGTTACTGCACGAATTATTTGAGAGCCTTTCAATCATCGTTACTGTTCAATGTCAAATGATGACAACAAGCAACTCGTCGACATCGACTCAACCAACCAGACAGTTGATGACAATGCTTCCACTAGCACTCGCCACAAACGGCTCAAAGTTTGCAGCTGCGGATCCACACATAAAAACGTAACTCAATAGTAATCGATACGAGCTTTAAAGTTGCAAAACTTTACACTATTTACAATATTCGGACTCTTCTCATCTTTATTGTTATATTCACGACGTTTCGGCCGTAGTACCCTCCGGCCTTCTTCAGGGGCTATAGGTTGGAATTTCGAATCGAAACCTTTATTTTGTTAACCGAGATAAATTGTTGCAGTTCCGTATGGCCCAGTGGATAAAAGGGTTGGTTGAAGTAATCCAGTGACTAGATCCAAAGAGTTATGAGTTCAATGCCTGACCACAAGATAGGTGAACAAAAATTTGGAGAGTTGTGTTACTAAAGGGAGGTAAATGAAATTAAGATATCCAGAAAAGAGCATGGCACGTGGAACTAGAACATTTAACCCCAGTGGACAAAATAAAGGGTTCGGCATATAACCTGAAGAAAGCCAGAGCGTACAACGATCGAAACGTCGTGAATATGGCAATATATTTTCGTACAATAATCCAAATAATGTAAATAATGTAGAAAAAACAGAACACCTGAAAAATCTCATTGCAGAATTCTATTTTTCTTCTTTTTTTTTTTGTTATTTAATTAAGGCAGCCTTTTAATTTTGCTTTCTGGTTTCTGAATAAAATGTCGAAATTGATCAAATACTTAGAATTAGTTGGAACAAGGCAAGCGATAACTTAACAGTACTAAAAAGAGAAGCTCTTACTAACCATGGAGAGAACAATCTACCCGTAGACCAGTGGTTACCAAACGGTACAGAGAGCCTCATAGGTGCGGCGGTAGTGGATAGCAGTTGAAGCGGAAGAGGATAGCAGGTGGGGTGGAATGATTGAAAGGCAATTAAAGATTTAAAAACAGTTTCAATGAATTCATATGGCAAAAATAAATATGATTTCAAAATTGAAAATATTATTATGGATTACTTGTAATTGCATGCATGAGTTCCAGTATAAATAGTTATAAATAATTATTAACCGGTTTTATCATTGTGATATTGTTGCTTTATATCAAGTATTAAGAATATAGTAATTAGGGTCCGCAAATTGGAGGGGAGAGTTATCAATGATAATGTTCTGACCTCGAATTCGCGATTATCTCCCTTTAACACGCTCTCTATATTTTTTATTTTTAAATGTACTTTTTATCACATAAAATTTGGTGAGGCGCGATCAAATTTTCATTCCGAAAATGCGGCCAAGAGAAAGAAAGTTTGGAAACCACTGCTGTAGATGAAATAATTGATTGATTAACTTGTTTTTACTGCTCATTTTATGTTGGCGGGATGAAATCATATATTCCATGCGTCAGTGAATATAACAAACCCGATTGGAAATCGAACACGTAGAGTTCAATTTGAAATTGCTTGAAACTTGTCCGGATCGACAGACACCTGAAAAAGGTCGGAAGGCATAATGGCCGAAACGTTGTGATAGTGACAACAAAGATGAGGAAAAAAACCTGAATGCAAATAATGATCAATTACCGTATGTATATACTTATGTATAAGCCATCTTCCTGTATAGTGCAACCCTTGAATATTTTTGCTTGAATTTTAACCCGTCCAAAGAATAAATTACCTGTGTATAGTGCAACCGATCACTGAAAATGCATGATTTTTAACCCCTCCAGAAAAAAATTACCTTTTTTTTATCTCGTAAAAAACTAATCATAAAATGTTGCAGTATACTCGAGGACTTCGTTTATATTTACATTATTTACATGCAGAGTATTTTCCTCGTGTGATAACAACAACAAAGATGAGGACAATAGCCCGCACGTAAATAGTGTAAATAATGATAACTCCTCATCCCAGAAATTCAGACAGAAGGTGATCAGGTGATGATAACAACAAAGATGAGGACAATAGTCTGCATGTAAATAGTGTAAATAATGATAACTTTTTATCCCAGATATATTTAGACACAAAATACTTCATTTTT